TAAAGATATTTAGGTACTTAAATATAATAATTCATATATAATCGTTTATCTCAATTTAGACATTTTTTTTCAAATTTAGCTCTATCAATGACTCCATATTTAATTTAACCTATTTCTTACATAGATTTTTTTTTACTTTAACTTACTTTCTATCTTATCTTTTTTTTTTTACCTACGTACTAGTTATTTAATCTATTTTAACTTTAACTTAAACTTATTTGCTATTTTATCTATTTTAACTCTAACTTAAACTTATTTGCTATTTTCTCTATTTTAACTTTAACTTACTTGCTATTTAACAACCAATTTTTAACCATAGAACATATATACAATATATACACAAAAAGTGAAACAATATAGTTCAATTTAAAATCCTATGTTCAAAACAAATGTCCAAAATTAAGCTCCGTCATGGGCCACCTTTCTCCGCTCTCCGTACTCCTTTCTCCTTGTTCCGTTCTCCGTTCTCCGTACTCCTGTCTCCTTGTTCCGTATTCCGTTCTCCATGCTCCGTATTCCTTTCTCCATGCTCCTTTCTCCGAACTCTTTTCTTTGTTATCCTTTCGCCATTCTCCGTTCTCCATGCTCCTTTCTTTGTTCGCCATTCTCCTTTAGAATGTATATCACGGAGTTATTTTTCTTTTCCAACGAAAAGAACACTGATACGTTAGGTATCAACTTCTTGGGGCAACGCATCAGTTTACAGGTACCGTGGATCTTTCCACTTGCCTCCACCTATTGCTTATAGTTTAAGAAAAACAGACTGAAACACATAAACTTAACACTGAGCAATGAACCGTGAAAATGAGGTCAAGGTCAAATAAAACCTGCGAGACTGACATGTACATCATAGAATATTTCCAAACACCAAATATAGTTGACTTATTGCATATAGTATAAGAACTATTTTTAATTACTAAATACCTTGTTTTTATGACCATTAGGGAAATCCGATTATTTTGGTTAGATAGAATTCTATGTGAACAATAGAAAAGAATTAATATATTTGCTAAAGGAAATACTTCTAAGAGTTTAAGCTGTCAAACCTTATTTATATCGCTAAGTGTCAAATAGGAAGAATTTCACATCTAATACTTATATATCAAAAGTTACATAACATTAGAGACTTTCTAATTATATCTTTTTACACAAAAAGCTTTATACAAGAATTATTTATTTTCTACAAATACATGTAAGATTAACTTAGTTTTATATGAAATATTAAAATGTATTTCTTTAAATATTTTACCTCAATTTACCATCATTATAAAAATATGGAGATGGGGTATGAATGCCAATGAGACAACTACCCACCATAGTTCAAATGAGCAATTATAGGTCACCTTATACGACCTTCAACAATTAGAAAAACAAATATGACAGACATGAATAATGTGAAACAATTCAAACGAAAAAAATAACAGACATGAACCTAAGACAACCGCCGTCATTAGAGCAGGGTTTCGAATCCCGCTGATGGAAGAACAAAAATATGCTGACGCAAATTTGCAAATCTAACATTGTTGGGCTAAATTCTTTATGTATCAGTCTAAAATCAGGAGCCTGTAATAACAGTTGTTGTCTTTGGTTCATGTCTGATATTTTTTTCGTTTGAATTGTTTCACAATATCTCAATAAATAAAATGAAAGCAAATCCAGAAATATTTCAAGCAACAGCTGTAGGTAAAAAAACTAAAGACAAAAACCTAAAATTTAAATTAGAAGGTAATGAAATAGAATGTGAAGATAACGTTAAACTTCTAGGCGTAACAATAGATTTTAAACTAAATTTCAATGAACATGTCTCTATAATATGTAAAAAAGCATCCAAACAGTTATATATATAAATGTATTAAAAAGAATAGGAAAACACCTGACTAAACTCGGAAAATTAACAATATATTATTCTTTCATAATGTCCAACTTTAATTACTGCCCACTAGTTTGACACTTCTGTGGGGAGGTTAATACAAAAAAGATAGAGAAAATTCAAGAGAGAGCACTAAGGTTTAACTATGAAGACTATTCAGCAAGTTATGAAGATCTACTCTGCAAATCAAAATTACCATCTTTAAAAATAAGAAGAATGCGATCATTGGCTATTGAAGTTTTCAAAATTATTAATAAAGATTGCCCTGTTTATCTCCATGATTTAATACACTTAAAGGAAAACACTTACTCTTTCAGATACCAGAATACAGCCGACCTACCACATGTAAGAACAACTGCATACGGCCTACAATCTTTAAGGTATGCAGGTGCTAAGCTTTGGAATGAGCTACCAGATGTGCTACGTAAGCAATCATCTTTAAATTAATTCAAGAACTTGATAAATTCTTGGTCTGGCAGCTCATGCCAATGTTTTGCCTGCAAAACCAGTTAATTTCTGTTCATTATTTTTGGTTTAATGCTTTATTTTCAGCATGGCAATTTTATTTTATTATCTTTACTATAGTGCTTCTGCTGCTTTGTGCTAGTTTTCGTAACTAACTAATCTATATGTGCTTTTAATGTGCAAACCATTTTATTTTTGCTTTTGTGCTTTTATCTCACAAGTGCATGTTTCAGTGTGTGTTTAACTTGTAAGATGCTTTTAGTTTTGTGCTGCATGTTTATATACTGATATGAACTCTTGCTTTAGATGTTTAATTTATGTGTGCATGACTTGATATGTATGTAAATGTTTTATTTGTTGCTCTGTCGGTTTTAAAGGCTCTTCAGAGCTTATGTTTTATACTTGTATTTGCACATACCGACTCTAAATAAAGCTTTAAGTCTTATGTCTAATTTCCAGCTTTATAATTATACCTGGGTCAATTTTAACTGCCCTTTCTGGTATAGGAACTATAAAAGTCTCATTCCATACTGAGGAAAACTGCCACTATCATATATGAAATTGACTAGTTTTACAAGTACAGAAGTGCCTTTGGTATTTCATTAGATACGAAGTCACCAGCAGCAGTTTTACCAGTTTTCAATAATTTGCATTGATAGCTTTGACAATTAACTTCTCCTGGTTTAATTTTCCCGTTCAGATATCACTATCAAAATCAATTTTGACTTCTTGTTTTCAAAACATGGAATTATGTCTTTTTGAAATTGGCGTAAGTCCAAATTTTCGGTGTTAAGTTTTTGCAATGATTGAAAAATTTCGTCCTGGGGTAAGGAATCAGATATCTATTTTTATCAATCAATGCCCATATTTTTGTGGTCCTTCTCTATGCTCTTGCTCATTTTGGTACATATTTTTTGTTTATATATTTTTTCTTCATATTTGCATTGCCGTCTATAGACTATAGTAATAGAAAGATTTCCTGTACCTGGCATTAAAAGGCCCGGGAAATTATTTATCGCAGTTCAAGTTTTATGTGTAACAAATTTAGCTTACTTACTTGAGCCTTCGAGTAGTGTGGAATTAAAGGATTTGACCATACTGTCAGTGTCAAGGAGCTCGTCTTTCATAAAAAAAATATGAATAGATTCCTTACTTTGAATATTCATCTTGTATAGGTCAATAGATTCATCGGACTAAGTGTATTTAACTGGTATTAGACTCAATTGTGATTGATTATTGAAATCATGGACAAACAAAGCTACAATACGAACTACCGAATAAGACATATCACCAGGTTTGTACTTGCATGAGCAACACGATGGGTGCCACATAGGAAGCAGGATCTGCTTATACATCCGGAGCACCTGAGACCACCCCGGTTTTGGTGGATTTCGTGTTGCTCAGCCTTTAGTTTTCTATGTTGTGTTTTGTATATTGCCGTTTGTCTTTTACTGGTTTTTCATTTTTTGCCGTGGCGTTGTCAGTTCGTTTTCGATTGATGAATTTGATTATCGATCCCTTTGGAATATTTCGCCTCTCTCCTACAAGACAAAATTTAAACCTGTTAAATCTAAAAATTTATGTGACACCCTTGTATAGTTAACAAGGTACATGTATTCAGTAGCAATTTACCACTGTTATTAGTGCGTTTGTGATCAAGATTATTTCTTGGCAACATACTGTCATAACTATGATATACATCATCAAAATAAAAATGATCAGATTCGTCATACAATACAAAATCTGCTTGGGTGTTTGTATAGGCAGTAATATCGCCCTGAATCATAATTTCTACAAGCTGGCTATACTTGTCTACACCTTCTAACAAATGAACGTATAGAGATGCAAAGTCTTGAACATTACCAGTACTGAGAATTTTTGGTGAAATATATACTACCACTAACCAAGGATTTGTATAGTAATATTATAAAAATCCTTGCACTAACAAAACATATTTTGGCAGGTTGAAAAAAAAAAGGATTTAATCTGATTCAATTTATATAAGTGTGTTTATTTTGTAATTATTTGATAACTTGAACAATGACACATTTAGCATATATAATGCAAATTCCTCCTGAATATCTTCTTGTCTCTTAATGGTTTTTTTCTGGTACTAGACGATACCAATTCAGAGTCAAAACCATGTAGATTTATAGACTGGCCATTTGTATCTGCCCATGTTTCAACTATGTTAAGAATAGGCTAATGATAAATACGATGGAAAAAAGTTTTTAAATGAATCTTTCTTTAACATTGCAATATTGAACATAGAAAAGGATTAGCCAGTAAGGCAACTTTTTACATGTAATATCAAAATTTCACGTTTTTGGCTTACAAAGGCAGATACAAATGATCCGTCTATAAATCTACAACCAAGCGATGCAATGGATGTAATCGATGGTTTAAAAATGACTACTTAAGACATCTTCAAGTCTAGATCGTTACAAGAATTGCATAATGACAAACTTGATAGAACTAAGAATGGTTTATTGTCTAGAAAATCTTATAAGATTTCCGTTCAGTATTTTTTTTAATACGGGTGCAGATTAGGTACTCAGTGCAATTAGGGTACTGTGGTGTTACCCGGAGAGAATAAAAAACTGACTAGTTACAGACACGGAGTGTCAGTACTTCTTTTTTATAATCATGTTTCGGCTGGTCCTCTTCCTCTGTAACATACGGGCACCTGTAGCTGGAGCTAAACGGATTAAGACAGAAAACCAGTACAATAAAAAAAAAACATACATCGTGAATTATTCTTCACAGGTTTATAGTTGTAACAACACACAATAGAATGTCAAATAAAAACGTGGCCGATGACAATGATGAAGAAGAGGTAGGTTAGATATGCGATTATTTTTGTGTCCTGTTTGTGACAAGAACCAGAGTACTCTCGCCCCTGATCCTTTCGCCCTTCCTGTTCGATCATATTCACTTAGTCCGTTCGCCCATATAACACATAAATGGTTAAATGGTATAATAAATTGGAATAAAAAATACTGAAATTAGAATAAGTCCAATGCTGAAAACTTCTGTTGAATGACTTGACCTAATATAAACTCGGACCATAATAGACTCGGACTATAATTATTTATATAAATAAAAACAGACATATATACACATGTCTCTGTTAAAAACAACGGGAACAAAATGGACCATATTTTTGTGTTGTAATTTGTTACATGTTTTTTTCTTGATTACTTAGTTTTTAACTACTTATCAACTATACAAACTTACGAATAATTATAAACATTTCGAGAGAAAAATGAATAAACTATAAATTTTTTTTTTAGTAAAGCTGTAAAAGTGAATGTATGAAATTAGTTAAATCTGGGAACAGTATATCTAACGTCAATATATATGTTCCTGGTTAAATATATGTTTATAATGAATTGAAAAAAAAATAATGGAATATTATGGGCATTTGCTGTCATAGGGCCAATAATACCTCAAGGTATTTTTCCTTGTATTTTTTCAAATCAATTTAGCAACTAAACAACAGGATGTATGACCAAGATCACTGACACAGTAATTACCAGTAAGTGTATTTTGAATTGTTTTCTAATTCTCGCTGTGCAATCATACCTTTGAAAAATGGACTATATAACACAGGCACTTGTCACTGAAAAAATACCTATATACAAGTAACATTTACTCTGAGACTACTATAACATTATAGTGTTATAGTAGTCTCAGATTTACTCAACAAGCAAAGGTTTTTAGTATATTTTTTTAGAGACAAGTGCCTGTGCCTTTACCTCGACCAAAATGGCATAAGTGTTATTAACCAAATATACTAATGGTTTTCATCCTTTCTTTGCATACATCTGGTTTGTGCATTTTAAGTAAGTTTTATTTCTGAAAAAAGTATTCATAACAATTTCAACAGATAAGATAAGATATTTTTATTAACCATGTTAACTGATGACCATAGTGCCCAAAACTTGAGCAATACAATCAAATGAATTATTACATATTGAAGCAAAGCAAATGATTAGAGTGATTGAAGTACATTTAAACAAAGTAACATATAAACTATGTCATTGACAAAACATTAAGTCTTTTGGAACACAGGCACTTGTCTCTGAAAAAAAATTCCTATATACCTCAATATAACACCTGAAATATACAGGATCATAAAGTGAGCAAATTGTTTGTTGAAATTTTCAAAACAATGAAATTGACTACTATATCTAACAAACCTTCCCCTTCTTTATTACTTTTTATGTGTGTCTATATATCTACCTTTCAAGGTTTTCAGGATTAAATGATATATTAAGGTATATAGGATTGTTTTTTCAGAGACAAGTGCCTGTGTTTTGGAAGCACAGAATGATGTAGTATACATGGTATATACAGATTTTATTGAAATTACAGTTTACCTAAAAGTTATATTTCTGTTTCTTGAACTGTATTTCTCTTTACATGACAAATGCATGAAATTAGATAAGAAGAGAATGATCAAAAAGTAAGAAAAAGGTTATTCTATTTCATACATAAACTGTATTAGTCTTTCGTCTATTTGTACATTTAGACAAAAAAGTATAATTTTTTTTAACTTTGAATTTATTTTGCAGATGACATTTATTGTGGAACTATCTGGTATACTGGACTCTGACCTTCTGAGTAAAGTAAAAGGGAATTGTCAAGTACTGGTAGGTTTATAACTGAGATTAGTTTGGAAAACAGGAATGCCTAATCGGCCTGCAAATAATGGAAGAACTTTGTAATTCTGTAAAAAGTTCGATGGTCTTCCAGATTGAAATATAAATTGAACTGTTACAGTCACCATTATATACTTGGAAACAAAAAATCAAGGCTATAAAAGATGAAATTTTACCCTTTGACAAGAAAGTAAAACCCCAAAGATGACTTGAATAAATAAATATGACTACCTGATATAAATAAAGGAAAAGTGGTATGATTGCTTATGAGACAACTGTCAAACATAATCCAGATGACAGAGATTTCAGCAACTATAGGTCACTGAATGGCCTTCAACACTGAACAAAACCCATACCATATAATCAGCTATAAAAAGCCCTGACATGACAAAAAAGTGTAACAATTCAAAAGAAAAAACCTACGACCGGATTTATGACAAAACAATAAATGAAAAACAAATATGACAGACATCAACCAACTTCAAACACTGACATACAAGGCTCCTGAATTGGGACAGGGACACATAGAAAGTGGTGTGGGTTAATATGTTTATGAGCATTCTGACCAATCCTGACTCCTCTAATACAAATTTTTCTATTTGATTTTGTTTGCATGTAACTTTGTTTATCTGAGTCGAAACTTCTATCTTTGGACTTAGAACTTATATATTTTTAAAAGGGAAAAATACTAATATTGAAATACAGCCTAAATTGTTCTTATTACACAAAAATGTACTAGTTATAATTATTGCTCTCAATTTCTTCAAACAGCCAAATCTGCCCCAAACTGAAGGGGGACATTTTGTAGTTCAGACACTTAAATGATTTTAAATTGTAGGGTATAGATACTGACAAGCCACTGCTTCAGTTAGAACAATATACATTTACTGGGGAATATGAGGACACACTAGGAACAGGCCTAGTATTTGAAGAAAAAGACAAATCAGGTAATAGTACACATGCAAATCTTTGACTTCTAACAATCTAATACTTATGAAAAGGACAATTAAACTTAAAGTTTTATGGACAGTTATTTTATAAGGACCGTAGTTCAACTAGATTTAAAAAAAAAATTAAGTAGAGACTGAGAGTTGATTAAAAAACAACAAAAATCATTTTTTTAATTTGAATAGAAGGATTGGTTATGTTTCAGAGTATTTCATTGAGTATTTCATTGACATGTTTGTATGGTTTGAATAAGGTTAGTATTTAACAAGAAAAATTCTGTAAAAAGTTTTTCTAGAGGTTAAGAATTGTTTTAACTTGCTTGCGAATGTGGTCCTTTTTCCAGAAAGTTTATATATGACAGCTCAGTCTTGAACAATATTGAGGTCCTGTGTCAAAGGGATCATGTTTAACCTTCTGATTTATTTATTTTTTGTATCTAAAACTGAGGGAAAACTTTTAGGTTGGAATGAAAACAAAACAAATTATCAAAGACTTAAGAAATGATCCATTTAAAAAATGAAAAATTTCTTAAATATAAAAATTTGGAATCGGTTGATAACATTTAAAAATGTTTTTTCTTTACAGAAGCCAGCCAATTAAAGGAAACACGACAGAATATATTACATCATTTGTTAGGAGAAGATAGTATTAATACAGCAGTTGATTTACAATTCTCTCATGTTGTCAACAAAAAACTGATCATGAAGCGAGCATTTCTAACACCAGAGGATGAAACTGATGGAGGTATACAAGAATAATTTCAAGATATAAAAGAGTTTTCTTTCTGTTTTGGGCATTCTTACCCCTTCTACAAACTCACACACATTTTAAGCTTTAAACATATCATTCTTTAAATGTTTGTGACAAGCCAGGAGCCTGAAGTCTGATGAGAAGGGTTTTTTTTTGTCCCAGAGTTAAGGGAAACTTGACCTAATTATTGGGATTAGTAAAATTAAGTTAGCTTATGATTTGAAAACATTCAGAGTCATGGAACTTAAACTGTTAGATTTAAGGCAGTTTTTTCAAATGTGTATATAAAACATTTTAAAATTTGAAGTTTCTTATGACTTTAAATGCATCAAAATTATCAATGCCATCTGTAAATGTAGAAAAAAATTGCAGAAACATTTGCACAACAATGAAATAAATTATTACATTGTACTGAATTGTTAAAAATTATATGTGTGGTTTACCATGGTAATTTTTTTAAATAGGTTACAATGTTAAAATTTTTTTTTATTCTATTATTTTTTTAAGAGCCATTAACTTCTTCAGATACAATTGAGAATGTAGATATGGCAGCAGAGGATGAGAGTGCAAGGACAAGTACAGGTCCAGATGGATGAACTCTATAAAGCTCTCAATGGCTGTCAACAATGAGGATCTCTGTTCATGATTTGTTATGTGAGATGTGAGCATATTGAGAAGGACATATTAAATGAGAAATATTGAAATACATTGTTGATGACATTAGTATGTTCTTGAAATATATGAAAGTTCTGACTGTGAATGTATCCATCAATATAAGTAATGTGTTACATGGACATCAATATGTTGTAATGTAATAAATCACTTGTCTTTCTGAAACACTGAACAAATCAGGGAAAAAATATTGAGCATTATTTTTGTTGTTTCTCATTGGATATGTAAGATAAAATGCTATTATGCCCCGCCACTAAGTGGTTTGGGAACACAGTGTTACCAATGTTCATCAATCATCTTGTCAAGACTTTTTTCATTATGAAGACAATATTGATCGGATCCAAAGGGCCATGTTAATTATTCTTATCACTTGGCGTCCATCATCTGTAATCTGTTAATTTTTACCAAAAATTTTCTCTGAAACTACTGAGCCAATTGGAGCCAAACTAGATCACAATCACTCTTGGGTATTTAATTTTTAAAAAGGTTTTCGATGATCCAGTCCGCCAACAGATATAGCCATCAAAGCTGAAAATAGAAGATTGAGGTAAAATAAAAGTATTGTCTATTATCTTTAATACAGAGAAAATCTGACAGAGCAGATGTCTTCAGAATAACAAGATCTACCTACTGTCCATTTAATCAATAACTGTAGGACAACTCCTTACAGAAATTTAACAATTTTTGAAATTTCGGATATAATCTATAAAACTATAATAGATAAACTGAAACTGTAAATGGCAAAAACGATCAGCAGGATAAGATCTACAAATAAGTCTCATGGTCAAAATTGTCAGTTGACTCCTTAAAGGAGTTATGGCCCTTGAAAGAAGAATTTTACCATTTTTGTGTGTGTTTTTATTTATCTATAATAGTAGAAAGAGAGGAACTGTAAGCATAAAAAATGATCTGCAGGAAAACATCTACCAAGTCAGCATGGCCAAAATTTTTAGTCAACTCCTTATATGAGTTATTGCCCTACAAAGACTGTGTTTACCCATTTTTGTCGAGCCTGCGACTTTTGTCGCAGAAAGCTCGACATAGGGATAGTGATCCAGCGGCGGCGTTAGCTAACTTCTTAAAAGCATTATATTTTAGAAGCTAGAAGACCTGGATGCTTCATACTTTGTATATAGATGCCTTATGTTACGAAGTTTCTGTCTGTCATATGTCCATTGTCCTTGACCTCATTTTCATGGTTCAGTGACTACTTGAAAAAAAAGTCAACATTTTTTGTAATGTTAATTTCTTTCTTATTATGAGTAATAGGATAACTATATTTAGTATGTGCGTACCTTGCAAGGTCCTCATGCCCGTCAGACAATTTTCATTTGACCTCAACCTCATTTCATGGATCTTATGTCCATTGTCCTTGACCTTTGTCCTTGACCTCATTTTCAAAGTTAAGTTTTTGAGTTTTGGTCTTTTTTTCTAATACTATATGCAATAGGTCAACTATATTTGGTGTATGGAAATATTTTATGATGTACATGTCAGTTTCGCAGATTTTATTTGACCTTGACCTCATTTTCACGGTTCATTTCTCAGTGTTAAGTTTTTGTGTTTTGGTCTGTTTTTCTTCAACTATAAGCAATAGATCAACTATATTTGTTGTATGGAAGGATTGTAAGGTGTATATGTCTGTCTGGCAGGTATCATCTGACCTTGACCTCATTTTCATGGTTCATTGGTCAGTGTTAAGTTTTCATGGTTAAGTATGTTTCTTAGATACTATAAGCAATAGGTCAACTATATTTAATGCATACATTGATTGTAAGGTGTACATGTCTGTCTGGCATGGTTCATCTGACCTTGACCTCATTTTCATGGTTCATTGGTCAATGTTAAGTTTTCTTGCCCAGGCCCCCTTAAGGAGCTACATTTATGGTTAATTCAGACTTTTACCTACACCACTCCAAAATTTGTCTAGTTTAGGAGCCTGCAAGCCCCTCTGTTTCAGAATCCTGAATCTGCATCTGAGACTGAAGTCATCAGTGATATCCTTATAGAAGTTATTGGCATTGAAAGACGATTTTTTACCAACTTTGTGTTTTTTTTGCGGAAATTATAGTCGATAGAGAGATAGAGGGAAACTGTTTTCAGCAACAATTATCATTCAGGAAAAGATAAATATGACTTCAAATATCAGTTATAGCCCTTGCAAGACAAGTTTGCCCCAGTTTTGTGTTTTTTATATAAATTTAAGTTGATAGAAAGAAACTGTAAACAGCAAAAATGATCAGCAGGACAAGATCATCTAATAAATCAACATGGCAAATGTAGTCAGTGGACTCTTTATAGCAGTTATTTGCCCTTGAATGACAGTTTTTAAACATTTGTTGCTTTTTTTCACATTATAAACTATCAGAAATATTCTAATTGCATGTTATCATTTATATTAAAAAATGCCAGGTGAGCAATACGGGTTCTTTTCTGGTGATTTAAAATATTTGAATAAAGCTTTATATTTCAGAGGTATACCTAGATACTTATCTTATCTATAGAAGATGCCTTATGTTTTGAAGTTTCTGTCCTGCATATCTCCATTGTTCTGGGCCTTATTCTCATTGTTGAGAAGCTGATAAAAAATATTCTTTTTTATCAGATGATTTTCTCACTTTAAATGAGTTATATATAGGACAACCATTATTGGTATATAGAATCATTGCAAGGTAAACATGTCTATCAGACAGGGTTTACCTGGCCTTGTCCTCATTTCATGGATCAGTGATCAATGTTAAGTCTGTTCTAAATAAAATTTACATTCAGTGAGGCATTTTACATTAGAAAACGATCATTTGTATTAAATTAAGCCTTTAAACTGAATTATTATATTCAATATTTATAATTTATGATTGTGTCCGTGTGTCCGGCTACAAAATGCATTCCAACTATTTTTTGCACCGGAACCTTGCCACTAATGCAACGAAGGCATGGTCAAATGAACCCTGCTAGACAGACATGTAAACCTTAATCGTTCAATACACAATAATATGGTTGACCTATTGCTTATAGTATCTAAACAAGAGTTCACATTCTCAAATATCTCGCCTGCTGTATTGATCATGAATTCATGTTGAAAGTCTAAGATAAAGGTTTTACTATTAGTATCTCATAAACTTGGCATTATACAGTATTGTGTATGCAATGATTTAAGATGTAAATATTTTTCTGTCAAGGTTTATCTTACCTTGGTCTCATTTTAATGCACATGGTACATTGGTCAATGTTAAGTTTTGCCTTGTTACGTCCGTTTTTCGGATACTATTTCCAAAAGGTCAACTTTATTTGGAGTATTGAAAGATTGTAAGGTGTTCGTGTCCGTCGTACAGGTCCATATATAACGTATTGTCCTCCTTAAAAGTCCATAATTGATAAATATCAATCTTGACGTCCCACTACAGGGTTGCTCATAATTAAATATTGAAGGTGTCTTCTTTCATTAACGAGGCTACATTTGCTCGAGTTTGAATTTTGACAAATGATGTCACCGATTTGAGCGAATTCACCGGTTTTTCCTTCGTGTTTTAATTATAATACTAACATGAACTTTGCGGTAAATTTGTTTAAAAATAATTATATTGCTTAATATATAGAAGTCTCATTGTTTGACGTAAATTTTACATTGATGTTCTACAAAAGGAAATCACGAATTCACCAACATTCCAACTTAATCCATTTTCGGAAAATGATATCTGTAACCAGAGACATATATGTCTCTCTGCCTATATACCACGTTGCCTCATAATCTTATTAAGAAAAATTCACACACCTGATTAAATGGGCATTTAAAAAGTCGGAATGCAAATATATATGTTCAAACTCTTTTAGGTCATATTTTAGTAACAACAAACAAAAGAACTATGTCAAATGGACCTGCTTTGATACTATAACTGCCCTTGCATTTTTACTAGATATCATTTTTGTTCGCTATGGAGATTCCGTATAACGTCAGGTTATCGGAATTCCCATGGGGACTAACTGTGAACCACTTATTGCGGACCTGTTTCTGTATTGTTATGAGTTACAATTTATGACTAAAATCAGCAAAGATCCATCGAAACAACATCTGATTCAAAAATTTAATAACACTTTTAGATATTTAGATGATATATTGGCTCTCAATAATGACGACTTCAGTATGTACACTAAAGAGATTTATCCTGCCGAACTGACTTTAAATAAAGCTAATACTAACAATGAACACTGCCATTTCCTGGATCTTGATATCTTTATCTTTAACGGGAAACTTAATACCAAAATTTATGATAAAAGAGATGATTTTTCATTTCCTATTGTTAATTATCCATTTTTAAATGGTGATGTTCCCTTGTCGCCATCTTATGGTGTTTATATATCTCAACTTGTTCGATTCGCTCGTGTATGTAACAACGTATTTGATTTCAACGAAAGAAATTTCTGTATTATTGAAAAATTATTACACCAGGGTTTTCGATATCACAAACTAGTCAAAATATTTACTAAATTTTATCATCGGTACAAGGACATCATTCGTAAATATAAATCAACATGCAGACATCTTATACGTTCAGGTGTTTCACATCCAATATTTTATGGTAATATTCTTTACAAAGCACAAAAATGTCGGCATTCACCTCAAAAGCTAACCAAACCTTTAAACAGACTTATTCGGAAAGGATATAGCATGTCAGTAACTGCTATTAGTCCTTTGTTTATTTATGTATCATTGTCATTTTGCTTAGTTTCTTTTGTTACCTATTTTGACATCGGACTCGGCTCTTTTAAACTGAGTTTTACTGTGCGTATTGCTATGTGTTTCTTTTTTCTATATTGGCTAGAGGTATAGGGGGAGGGTTGAGATCTCACAAAACATGTTTAACCCCGCCGCATTTTGCGACTGTCCCAAGTCAGGAGCCTCTGGCCTTTGTTAGTCTTGTATGTTTTTTAATATTAGTTCGTTTATATGTTTTGGAGTTTAGTGTGACGTCCATTTTCACTGAACTAGTACACACTTGTATTTAGGGGCCAGCTGAGGACCACCTCCGGGTGCGGGATTTTCTCTCTGCATTGAAGACCCATTGGTGGCCTTCGGCTGTTGTCTGCTCTTTGGTCGGGTTGTTGTCTCTTTGACACATTCCCCATTTCCATTCTCAATTTTATTCAGTTATTCTTTTATTTAAAAACATTAAGTAGCACTTATTCATGTCTGT